GCTGGTGATATTAAACCACACCCAAGTCAATAAACACACTAACTAGAATGGGCAGATAGTCCCAAGATACTGAAAGACAGTAGTTCTAAAAATAACTGGTAAAAAGAGACCAAGGATTAGTAACACAAGAAGAACAACAGCTCAAAAACACTGTAGTAAGGTGCTTTCCTTCAATATCAAGCCGTTTTTAATTAAAATAACACCTCGGTTTTCATTGTTTTTCATCGAATTTTTTATGATTGTGAATAATTGCAGCTGCCAATATATTCTGACCTATGGTACTTCATTAAAGCAGGAGTTTCAGTTGCAGCAACAAAATCTATTTCAAAACCTTTAAAGACATGGCAAACCTAAATAAGTTACACAAATTACATGTATGAAGTGAAAGTTGCATTTTCCTATCTGTTTAAATCAGGCAAAAGAATCAGAAGTTTCATAACATTTAGGTTGCTTATTACTTGATTTTAAGTAATGTTGACTGCCAATTCTTGAAACAAATCCTGATCAGAACCACAATTTTAATGAGAGAAAACAAAGATGCCTTACTGACACCAATTCAAAAATGTAAGTCTATGATGAACGTAAAAAAGAAATTTTTTTAATTCTCACTTGGTAACTTAATTTGGATTCTTGTAACTACCTCTCTCAGAAGAATCATGTCTACTGACAACATTCATCTAACCATTTGGTAGATATTGTTTTAACTAACTGCCATTTGGAATCTCCACTGCTCCAAAACACTTCCGGAAAAGAATGAGCCACATACTCTCTGCACTGTAAAAACGTATTCGTCATTTTGACAAAATTTGTCACCTCAGCAGAATAGTTGTTATGACAATTTTTTGTAATTCTAATTGATATTATGTCAAATTAACAAATCTATTGATTGTTTCACAAAGCATTATTTGTTAAAAAACAATCCTGATATAATGAGTATATTTAGATCTATCTATAATTTTACAACAAGAGTTCTTGATACTACAAAAAACAATCCTGGATATGACTGCAATGAATGTTTACTCACAGGGGGCAGCACACAAATATACTCATTTTCATCATTTAAATAAATCA